TCCTTCGCAGGTTGGTGCCGTCATGCCGACACTCGACTACTTTAGCAAAAAAGACGGATCCCCACCCTGATTTTGTGGTTTAACAGATTGCGGATGGGCTGTCATCTGCCCGTAGCCCTGTGAATCGCCTGTCGATACCCAGCCTGCATGCAACACCTAGTACAACTCTTCCAAACTTTCAAAGACAGTAGCTAATTGGTTCTACTGCCACGCAGATGCCGAGTCTTTCTTGCTGTCTTCTTCTTTGATTATGAATTCCAGCAACGAGAGATCGACGTTGCCACGAGTTGATTTAAGGGTTATACCGTACAACTGGTCTCCTGGTTTTATTATGTCTATCGTGCGTGGGCTGCCATCATGTGTCTGGACTAAGGTAATTAATCCAGACCGCGCCCCACTACTTCGCGCTATAAACTTCTTTCAGGCGAATGCTGGAGGGGGTAGTCTTCTGTTCGCCTAGCAGGCATTAGGGGATGGCTTATCTTGGTCCTATTGTTTAACCCTCTGTACCCTTGTCTTGTTTTCTTTCTCTCTCCTGTAGGTGGGATTCATGTTGGCTGATCTGTGGGGCGGCTTCTTCATCATGTACATATTCAGCGCTCATATCGGGGTGCCGCAGTTCGTGCCACCCTTTGTCCTTGTTGTTCTCATGATTGCCTACCTCTTCTCGCCCCTGCCCTTCTTTCACTTCAAGGCGCGGCGTTGGTTCTTCAAAATATTTGTGAGTTATGTCCTTCTGTCCTGTTCTGGCACGCTCCCCCCTCCCCTCCCCTGTCTGTGTTTTATGATGGACGTCTGCGTTTACACCGAGGCCTTTCACATCTACCGTCTTTTCTGTACTATAGGGCGCACTGTATTATGAAGCCCACTGTCAATGAATAGTTTGTTTTCAGGCTTTTTTCGTATATAAAGGCACATTAAGGAAAACAAAACAGTCAGACAAGTTGGGACAAGTATTCGCATTCCAGGTGTGTCTATAGTTTGGGAAGAAGAAGGCTTGTTGATCACCAGAATCGTAATGTTATTTGTCTGAGCTTTTGAACTCTAACTGGAGTCTAGCGTCCATCGTTACTTTTGAGAAGAAGAAGAAGAAGCTTCGTCGAACACCGGAATCATGGTTTGATTGGTCTGAGCTTTCGGGCTCCTGCAGGAGTCCATCGTCAGAGATGGGAAA